CATTACAAAGAACTCTTTTGGTCTATCCCCAGAAGTGGTAAAACTGGACTTGGGTGAAACCCCCGAGGCAAAAATTAATAAAACAACTTTGTCCACAGAACTTGAGGCTGCCTTGGCTGCAAAAAAAGAGGAAGTTATGCTTCCAGAAATATACAAGGAATTTGCCAAGGTGTTTGCAGAAGATGATATCCCACTCCCAGCTCATTGGCCAGGGTTGGATCATGAGATCAGACTTCGTGAAGACTTCAAGCTGAAGAAAGTGGCAGTATACCCCATGTCTCCTGATGAACTTAAGGTTTTAGATGAGTTCCTGGATGAAAATCTCAAATGCAAGAAAATATGCCCATCAACATTGCCACAGGCAGCACTGGTGTAGGGAGCCATATACTCCCTGAGGCTGGAATAGGAATCTGTCACTAAGTTCTGCAGGCCTCTACAACAAACCCATTTCAGAATTTTTCCCACTTGTGTCCTCATGTTCCCTCCCAACCCCTGTCACCTTTGGAGTTTCTACCACCCTTCAGTATGTCACTCAGTTATCAAATTGCTGATCCAGAAATCCCATGTTCACACAGAGTCACCCAGAATTCAGCAGCTGTGCCACTGCTCAGTCACATCACTGGTCATCTGTGCCACTTACCTCTAATAAACTCTGGTTTCCCCTGTTGCCTTAAATTCTGCAAGCTGGACTTCATGCCAGTATGCTATGTTCTGCCCCCCTGTGCTGCTTGGCTCCACCTCCCACTTGTACACATACTCATTCTGTTGGAAGATACCCCTTACCATTGTTCTGTTCTTACTCTTGTCTACTACCCACTGGACTATTCCACATGCATCTGTACTTCACTGACGTCTGATGTACTTTCCTTTATTTTCCAGTCTTTTAGTTTTTCCACCCCACCTTACTCCAACTCATACCTACTTCCCTTGTACTATGTAATTCCACCATGATGTCGGAAATATACCCACCCCATCTTTTGGAGTCACTATCCAAGTCATTTGCATGTCTAAGTGTTCAAAAGTGTCTGCCACATACTCTGTGTCTACTGTGTCTTCTGTGTTTCTGTGTCTCGCCTCTGTGTCTCATGAGTCTCAGAATTACTTCTTTGTGCCAAGGTTGTAACTTGGAATTTCATATACAAGTCTACTGGTTCCCAATTTGCCTACATCTCTGCAGAATTAAATTCAGTGCCCCATATTCGACTCCTTGATTGACCCTACCACTGTTTTCTATGTCTCCTTCCTACTCAGCACCCCTTGGGTTGAGCCTAGGGATTGCCCTACAGCTTCCCCCCCCTAATCACACACTACCCAGAGGTAGTGTCCCACATAGTTTTGGAGCCCACTGTGAGGGGTCTGTAGATCTGGAAAGGAGATCCTTATGACCCACTTGGCAAAGAACCAAACTTGAAGAGCTCTTAGAGCCCTTCCATCACCTTTCTATTTCTTCATCAGAGATCTTAATCCCCATAACTGATCCCAGAGAAATTTCAGAACCTCATTTGTCTGATTCAGACCCTGGTCTAGATAAGATCTTTCAGAATTCAGATTCCCCAGCATTCTACCCAGCATTTCCAGGAGGTTTTGACCTCAATGAATCCTTTGATCCTCCCACAGAGCATCAGGAACTTTCACCTCTCTCAGAACTAACCTCTTCTTTGTCCTCATCATCTAGTGATTCTGAACTCGCTGCCAAACAACTTCTTATCCCTTCACATTCACTCACTTTAATTCCCACTATTGTTTCCCCTGCCCAGGTTCCCACTCAGAATACCTCAGTCACCCTACTCTTAAGTTCTGCACTGACTCACATAATGTCTGCAGCTAGAGATATGCTGCTTAGGGGCTCTAACAAAGCCCCAAAGTTTTCTGGTCATACTGAAGACATCACTTGCTACCTTGAAGATGTTGAACAACTCTGCATCGAAGCTGGCTTGGACACTGGAAAAGATAAAATCCACTGGGTCATCTGTTACACTGATCACAACAAGGCTGAATTTTGATCCACCTTAGATGCTGCAACTGATGGCTTCAATGACTGGGATGTGTTTTCCAAAGAACTCCTGAACTACTATCCAGGTGCCTTGGTGAAAGATCATTGCTATACCAAAGCTGACCTTGAAACCTTACTCTACCACCAAGTCCAGAAACCTATGGGCTTGCTGGAAGATCTCGGTAAATACATCTGGGAATTTTGATGCATCCTCAGCCTTGTCCAGAAGAAGAAGAAACTTCCTGATGACTACATCAATGAGAAATTCCTTGAGGGATTTCCCCCAAGGTTCTGGAATTCTTTGTTTGCATGATTGCAACCTTCTGACCTAGATCATGACATCAATGAGCTGTGGGAGTTCGATCTGGTCTACAAGCATGCTAACTACCTGCTCAGCAGAGCAAAATGAAATCTCCCTCAGCCTGATTCATCACCACTGTTCCCCCAGAATTCCACTCCATCTTCCTCACTGACTGTTCCTACTATCTTGAAATGAGAGTATGTTCATGTCACCCAGCAACCTGCTTCTGCCCTGCCTTCTCAACAAGGTCAAGAAGGTCAATTCCATCATTCCTTTGACTCATGGTGTTTCTTCTGCAGAGGAACAGATGGCCACAGCAGGTGCAGGAGCAGCCACTGGGGATTGCTGGCAACAAGCTGGAATTTCTACATCATCAAAACGAGCATTCTTCTTCTTCTTGATATTGTTCTTCAATTCTTCTACCTGAGCATAAGCTCTTGCTAAGGTGTGTTGATCTTCTTCATTGGCATCCTCCTCAAGTTCTTCGTTGATTGGGTAGGAAGAAGGGTGCAAGTCAACCTGAAATTCTGGGGCTTCTTTGTTGCTGAAGAACATCATCATGCTGATGAGATGAGGTGGGGTATCATGACCATGTGAAGAGCTCAACTGCTGACCAGGTCATTGTACAGAGATGAGATTGGCTGAGGCAAGAATGGATTCACACATGGCAAGGAAGTTGTCAATCTTCTCTTTAAAATTCTGGCCAGCGGCTGTCCTAGGGATGTCAGAGCCATCTGGCATGAAAACTCTTCCCCCAATCAGGGAGCATTTCCCAGCTTGTACATATTCATGGCACAGTGCACACTCTGCAGTTCTGGCACACCAGCCACCTCTAAGACAGCCATTAATTCTGCACCAACCAATTCTATCACTTCTACAGAAATCCCAGCCATTACTAAAACTCTGGTCATCTCTAGTCCCACAGATCTCTGGAAATCCAAGCCTACAACAAATTCCACACCCCAATTTCATTATCAAAGTGGTTTTGATGAAGCAGCAGCTACCAAATGACTCATAGACCAAGTCTTAGATGCAAAGATGGAAATTTCCACTAAAGATCTCTTAGCCATCAGCCTGGAGATTTGCAAGCAGGTTAGAGAGCTAGCCATAATGAAGAAGATAACCATTGGGAGTTTAGAAACAGTGTCAGAAGCTTCTGCCTCTGCTATCTGGGCATCCTATGAACAGTATTGGGTCAGAGACACAGAAGGGAAGTGTGCAGGCCTTGCCCCTGTGCCATTATGTGCTGTTGATGGCATCCTAATGGACAAACTTCACATTGAATGTATCCTGGACAGCAGATGTCAGGTAGTGGCCTTGCAATGGGAGTTGTGGGAAGCCTTAGAAGCCCCCCTCTGTACTGACATGACTATGACTCTGGAGGCTGCTAACCAATCCAAAGAAAGCACCCTTGGGGTTGTAGAGAATGCCACCTTGCATGTAGGAAATGTTGAGGCCCATCTACAAATCCGAGTTGTTGATCACACACCTTTTGACTTACTGCTTGGTCAACCCTTCTTCTGCCTACTCTCCAGCATCCTCTGTGATTTCCCTGATGGAGAACAGTCTCTAGAAATCCATGACCCTAATTCTGGGAAACAAGTTTTAATCCTGACATGACCTTGCAACAGACTGCATCCCCTTCCATGTTTCGTAAATTCTGAAGATGAAGAAGACTTCTTCACATGAAAACAAATGTGTCACCATATGAAACAGCCTGAGCAGGGTTTTTAGTGTCGGTCAATGACTTGTTTGGATTGCAAGGAGGCCACAATAATCTTTTCTCTGTGTGTTCTCTCTATGTTTCTGATCCTCCTTTATTACCTTTGAAGACTACTACCCTTTCACCTACAGACACTTTCAAAAATTCCATGCAGCATTTATCTACAATTTACAAAGCAACAGTATGCCCCCCATCCATCCCTTTGATACTAGTTCTGTCTCTCCAACTGACCCTTTCTTATTTTTGACTGCTACTACCTTTCTCCACTGACAATCTCTGCCTTATGCTCTACCTATCAGTTTGATCCTGTTTATCATGTCTTAAAGTACAAACCTGTAGCGAGGAAGGTGAGGCCAGTACCAACATTGATGCCAGCAGAATTCCAGGTAGAGCATCAGGAGGCTGAAGCCCCACTTGCAGGTCTGCCTGTTTTACCTACTCATCCCCCACCATTTGTGCCAGGTTCCAGGTTTACTCAGGAAAGAGCTGATGAGCTTGATCTGGACCTGGCAAGGTTCCTTTGGCCTACAGAATTAGACCTAGTACAATGGCTGGTCAAGGCACATGAGGCTGCCTTTGCTTGGGACACTTCGGAAAGAGGGACCTTTTGAGAGGACATGTTCCCACCCCTGAAGATACCTGTGCTTGCCCACAAACCCTGGGTCGAGCAAAATATTCCCATTCCCCCTGCTATTTTCTGTGAAGTCGTTAACATCATCAAAGAAAAGATTTCCACAGGTGTTTACGAACTGTCTACCTTGTCCTATCACTCAAAATGGTTCTGTGTAGTCAAGAAGGATGGAAGATCTCTGTGCCTCATCCATGACTTGCAACCTCTAAATGCTGTTTCTACCCAGGACTCAGCCATTCCCCCCTTCATCAATTCAATTGCTGAAGCCTTTGCTTGCCATTCTGTCTATGGAATTTTGGATCTTATGATTGGATATGATCATCACACTATGCCTGCAGAATTTTTGTTGAAGTCAGCATGCATGCTTGGAGTTGTCAAGGTCATAGGGTGCACCTTCTGCTTCCCTTTTCCCTTGCTTGCACTACCAGAGCCCCCCCCTGTCAAGCACACAGCTCCTCTTGACAGGTTTCCTTCAGTGTCTTCTGGTGCATGGTCTTGGCCCTCACCTCTTGCTGCTTGGCCCCAGGTGTGCATGGATGGTGCCTTGGCCAACCTCTTGGCCTCCATCCACACTCTCTCCTCTACCCACTCCTGGTAGTCCTTGAAAAGGTCATTGATGTTGAACCTACACTGCCCTTCTGGCCACTGGAGATCCACTATTGCTATCGCTGCAGGGATCACTTCATTCTGCCATATCGCAGATTCCTTGGTCATGTCACATAGGTTGGCATTGCACACCTTCAGGATAGAAATCTTGTTCTCATGAACATACTTCCACCATGAGTAGATCCCAGCCTGGGGATCAGTCAGCACATTGTGTTGCATGGGTCTCCAGCACATGCACTCACCCAGGTCTGGTCCCAGTCCTCTGCCCACTCATATATTGCCTCTAAGCTCTCTTCGGGCTGTGGCACTGTGTCAATTAGCACCCTAATGTGCCTTAATGCTGCCAACAGCAAGGTGATGGCCTGGTCCCTCATGCTGCAAACCAGTTGCGCATCATGGATTGAGTAGGCTTGCATGGCAAAGGTTGGGTATGGATTGGGTAGTGGATGCAGGTGTAGCTGGGGCATGGATGTTTGATGAGTGGTGAGACACCTTCTGAGTGTGTTTAAATTCTGCAGGGCCATCTCATACAATGCAGAATTTCCCTCTGCATGAGGCAGAACTCCAACCACATGCCATCATTGTTATGTAATGTCTGTCAATATTCCACACTCGTCTCTGTTGTGTCTCAGTTTGGTCTGACTGAGGACAGTCAGCATTCAAAGTTCCCAGGAGGTGTAGGGAGCCATATACTCCCTGAGGCTGGAACAGGAACCTGTCACTAAGTTCTGCAGGCCTCTACAACAAACCCATTTTGGAATTTTTCCTGCCCATGTCCTCATGTTCCCTCCCAACCCCTGTTGCCTTCGGAGTTTCTACCACCCTTCAGCAAGTCACTCAGTCATCAAATTGCTGATCTGGAAATTCCACATTCATGCAGAGTCACCCAGAATTCAGCAGCCATGCCCCCACTCAGTCATGTCACTGGTCATCCATGCCACTTACCTCTAATACACTCTGGTTTCCCCTGTCACCCTAAATTCCACAAGCTGGACTTCATGCCAGTATGCTATGTTCTGCCCCCCTGTGCTGCTTGGCTCCACCTCCCACTTGTACACATACTCATTCTGTTGGAAGATACCCCTTACCATTGTTCTGTTCTTACTCTTGTCTACTACCCACTGGACTATTCCACACGCATCTGTACTTCACTGACATCTGACATACTTTCCTTTATTTTCTGGTCTTTTAGTTTTTCCACCCCACCTTACTCTGACTTGTACCTACTTCCCTTGTACTATATAATTCCATTATGATGTCAGAAATATACCCACCCCATCTTTTGGAGTCACTATCTGAGTCATTCACATGTCTAAGTGTTCAATAGTGTCTGCCACATACTCTGCATCTACTGTGTCTTCTGTGTTTCTGTGTCTTGCCTCCATGTCTCATGAGTCTCAGAATTACTTCTTCATGCCAAGGTCATAACTTGGAATTTCATATACAAGTCTACTGGTTCCCAGTTTGCCTACATCTCTGTGGAATTAAATTCCATGCCCCATATTTGACTCCTTGATTGACCCTACCACCATTTTCTACATCTCCTTCCTACTCAGCACCCTTGGGTTGAGCCTAGGGATTGCCCTACAGCTCCCCCCCCTAATTGCATGCTACCTGGAGGTAGTGTCCCACACCGGTGTTCTTTGTTGCAAAGAAGGATGGAAAGAAGCAGTTAATTCAAGACTACCATTATCTCAACTTGTTCACCATCCTGGATGCACACCCACTGCCTAATGCACAGGCTCTGTTTGATGAGTTGGTTGAATCCAAGTATTATGCCAAGTTCAACATTTGTTAGGGGTTCACTAATCTGAGGGTGAAGGAAGGTGATGAATGGAAAGGAGCATTTATCACACCCAGAGGGTTGTTTGAACCCATGGTAATGTTCTTTGGCCAGTGCAATTCACCCACTTCTTTCCAGCAATATATGTACAACACTTTCGAGTCTCAATGAGGAAAGCAAGTGGGATACATGGATGACATCACGATTCACGCTAAAACAAGGGAGGAACTTCGGATCCAAGTTCAAGAGTTCCTGGAGATCTGCAAGAAGGAAGGGTTACACCTGAAGATTAGCAAGTGCTGCTTCGAGGCCAAAGAAATTGAGTACCTAGGAATGATCATAGGAAAAGGGCATATGGAGACCTCACCAACAAAGACCAATGCCATTAGTAATTGGGAAGCCCCCAACAATCTTACTGGGCTTCATCGATTCCTTGGATTCTGCAATTGCTACTGCAAGTTTATCCCCTCTTTCTCAAGCATTGCCAGACCCCTTCATGATCTCACCAAGAAAGGGGTGCCCTATCAATGGACTCCAGAATGCGATGCCACATTCGAAAAGTTAAAGTCTTTGTTATGCTCCTCTCCAGTCCTTGCTATACCCAACTTCTTGAAGCCATTTGCCTTGTTCACTGATGCTTCGAAGCTCAGAACTGGGGCTGTACTTGCCCAAAAGGGAGCTGACAATGAGTGGCCTCTGTGTTCCTACTTGTCCCAGTCTTTGGTCAGTGCCAAGCAATGCTACTAAGTCTATGACTTGGAGATGCTAGCTGTCATTTGCACCCTCAAGGCTTTCCGACCCTACTTGCTATCCCCTGTTGAACCAACTGTGGTCTTCACCAACCACAAAAACTTGGAATACTAATGTGAGCCTCAACAGCTCACCCCTCATCAGGCCTGATGGGCCACTACCATCCAGTCCTACCCTATCTGGTTCTCCTGGCAGGCTGGCCACCTACAGGTCCCAGCCAACACCTTGTCCCACAAAAGGACTCTTGAGGAACCTGCCCTAGTAGCCACGGTCCTCCCCCCAGACCTTTGGCTTTCAGAGGGGGTGGATTCCCATGTCTGTCTTGTTTCCCCCACTTTTTCCAACACAAAATTACAAAAACAGTTGAAACTCAACCATCTAATGTGAATAGGACGTCTTCCCACCCAGATACAACATTCTAAAGAAAACTCAAAGCTGTATTCTCACCCTGCTGAGGAAAAACCAAAGGAGAATAGGCTGCCTGACACTCACCCTTTGAGGAAACCTGAAAAAGGAGCAAGGGGAGTTTACACTATATCTGTGGACCTGTATGAGTGCATCAAGAACAATACATCAAAGGACTCAACAGGCCTGGAACCTTGGGATAATGTTACTATTGCAGAAGACAGAACAAAATGGTTTGGAAATACACATCTATACATTCCCCCCAAAGATCATCACCACTGCATGTGCTCATATCATGACCATGAGTCAGCCAGACATCCAGGACAAAAAGCGATGTTTGCAAAGATGTGAAAAGAAGTGTGCAGTAACCAGCAGGGAAAGGGAAAGGGTAAGGCACAAGCTGATGATGACACCAGTGGTCAAGCAGCTGAGGCTGGTCCCACCAATGCTCCTGAACCTCCCCACTTACACACCACCTTCACCACCTACTCTGATGGCACACACCATGCTGCTGTCAACCTCCTCACCTTGGCTGCCCTTGCCTGGGATGACAAGCCTCAACTACCAATTGCAGCAGGTGACTACCTGGACATTGTTAGGGTGCTTGATGTCTTCCATGACAGGGACCACATTGATGGGTGCTCACCAGAACAGGTTAAGTATTTTGGGTTGCTGTCTGAAATCTACAGAGCAACAGATGTGATCAACAGCACTGTCTCTAAGATTTGCACCTGGAAGCTTAATGGTACAGCCCTGCTCTCAGAAGTTGTCATGGTCAACATGTTGGAAAGAAGCTTGTTGGGACTTTTAGAAGTGGTAACTGGGGGTGCATACCATCATCTTCTCCATCAGCAGATCAGCAAGTTCCTTGCACTCCCTGCTTCTTGACTTCTCAATCAGATTTGCCCAAAACAAGAGGAACCATCAGTTTCCCACAAACAAAAGGAAGAAGTCACATTGGAATGGAAGAATGACAATGGGTGGAAGGCATTAGAGCTGACCTATGTTGATGGGGCTGCATCGTATAAAGAGGTTGGTGCATGACTTGGTATGGGGACTCACAACTCTGCTTGGGAGGTTTTACTGCAGGATGCTTCATGGGCTGGGATCCACAAGCACTACCATAATGCCATCCACTCCACTGACCCTCTCCCTGCTACTCCTTTTGTCCCCATCCCTGTGGATCAACTTCAGTTCTATCTGGGAGGACAGTCCCCCATCCCTGCTGACCATGTCCTCTACCAGCATGTATGTTTCCAGTGTCATTACCTGGGACATTGGTCATGTTGCAACAGATGTGGCTCCTGCTATACTCCAGCCCTCGAGGAACCACCAACTCCATCACCATCATCACCTGTCACCTTGTGGACCCATTCCTGCATTTACACTACTCACTGACCCCTTTCTGCCCACCCTGCCAATGTATCTGGCTTGTCCTCAAGGGTCTGAGGACCTTAGAGGGGGGGTGATGTTATGCCCATGTCAGGGGTCTTTCCTTTTTTGACTTCATGAGGTCACATGTATCACATGCCTCATCACATCTCTCATGGTTGTCAACATCCTAGGGGTTTGTATGCCATGAGGCTCACTCAGATCTCCAGCTGTCAAGGTATTTCCAATACCTGTCAAGATCATGCCTCTTGTTTGATCTGGTGTTCCACTGCCCACTCTGATGGATGACTTGTTATTTTCCCCACTTCTGGTCTGTCTATGACTTGTTTATGTTGCTCAAATGTGGTACTATAGCTCCAGTGTCTGGCTCCTTGCTGCACATTGATTGCACAGCTGGTATAGCCTTTGTTTCCTTGCCTCTGCCCATCATATGACACCATATGACTTGTCCTGACTTATTTATTTGACTGATGCTTTTGTTGGTTACTGCGGATATGTGTCGTGACATGTCTTGTCGCAACTGGTATGGTACTTGTGCTTAGAAGTATATAGTCCCATGTACTTTACCTTGTATCCTCAGTTTTTCAATAGCTTGCAACTCAGCTTCATCCCTTTGCTCTCATCCTCATTCCCTCCTCTGTGTGACAACCCTAGGGACCACCAGAAAGAGTGAACCTCTGTCAGACTTCAGCAATAACTGAGCCATAGGGGTTATGACATGTTCGGCCTGTAGACTCCCCCTTGCATGCTTTGTGCCTATTCCATTTGAAGAAGTCACTGTGCTTGGGCATAACAGAAGGTGGTCAACAGAGATGTTCAAAGAACAGAACTGTTACTAATTTTGGTGAAACTTCTTGTTTGGACTAGTGGAAGGGTCAATGAAAAGCAGGAATTTGAAGTTACCTGGAGAGAATCTCTAGCTACTATCCAAAATTAAAAAAACAGTTTAGATTTGTTTCTGGAGAGCATTTAGATTTGTTTTTGGAGAGCATGCTTCATCTGCAAACCTACCTGAGGGGATGAGCAGTGTATGGATGCCTCCATTTGGAAGTGACTTGTTGTAACACTCCTTTCATGCTTGGTAAAACACTTATTGGCCAATGAGAGGGCTTGCTCAAGTATGAAAGGCTAGTCAACAGCTGTGTTGCATAGCTGTTGCCCAGATGTTGGTTTTGGAGAATCAGAGATTGCCAACATTGCTACCCAGCACATTCCAAGTTTTTAAGTCAACCAATGACAGGCATCACTATTGCTCACCCCCCCCCCCCCCCACTGCTGTCACTATTATAGTATGCCTGCACACCAGCTTACTGCTTCAACTTGTGAAATATAGGTAGGTATGTGTCTTCTCTAGCTTTCTGTCTGTGCTGAGGTACTCTATTTTTGTCAGTGCTATTCCTTGGATGGTGACAACAGCAGGGTACATTATTGCTGTGTCATCACATCCATTGCCAGTCACCTTGTTGCATTCAGGCTGTCACTATGAATGTAATGGCTGGTGCTTTGTGGTCGGTCATCTTCTGTTTGGTAGGGGTTGTTATGTGTCAACTTCATTTCTCTTGTACTCTGATACATACATTCTTGTGTTTGTGATGTTGTACCTGGGTTTGAAATGCTGTCACTAGCAGGGAGTTTGAGCCTCTGCTTGACTGTTGGTATGTGCAAGGCAGGTCCTCTTTCTTTCCTCCATCACTGACACCATTCCTGCCTGGAACAGTATCACAGCCATTTGGAAGGAGAAGCTTGGACATCTCTGTGTGGATGCATTCATTCATTCTACTGGTATGTTCACTGCTGAAGTGTTGCCACTTTTATGAACTTTTGAGTTTGGGTAGCACTTGTTTTTCTTGTCACTTCAGCTCCATCTTTATGCACATGAAGGCAAACCAGATACTATTCTGTCTGATTGCTAACTGCCAAAAGGCTGATGGCTCTGCTTGTGCAGCAAATGCAAAGTGTAAACAGCAGCCACCCCACTGTGCACAATGCTGCAAGTTGGCAGGTGGCTGTGGACTTCCTGGCCACCAGCCAAAGGGTGCCCTTCCTTTGCCATCACTGTCACGACTCCAGCCACTGCATGATGTGTCTGAGTCCTCAGTGACCTTGCAGGTTGTTGATCCTTCATTGATGGCAGTTTCCATGGAAGCTGTTGTAGAGGGTGCAACCTTGCTGACTGTTGGCTCTTCCCCAACTGAAACCTTTTCCTCTACTCCACACTTGTTCTCAATGTCATCTAGTCCCCTGATGGTATTAATATTGGTATGCTTATGTAATTAGTTGTGGCAGGGTTTCATTACAAATGTGCCATGACATCATTGTAGCTGTGTTTTCATTACCAATTCACTACTTTACTTTGTAGTGTAAGGTCCACTTTTGTGATGACATAAAAGTAATGTTGTGCTGTGCAGTGTGCCATCAGCATGTCATGTGATGTCATGTGACATGCTTCACTGCACATGCTACAACCAGTGGCTGATGACCAAACAGCAGCAAACAGAAAATTTTATAAAAGATGCACTTCAACACACCACTCTTCATCTTTCTCTCTCCCATGTTCCTCTTACCACTCCCTTGATGCCAGACTTCACCTATGTAGACTGCAGCTGCATGGGTTTAAGGTATGTCTTGTAGTATCCTGCTGTTGTCCTGCAGCACACTATGGGTGTGTAGGTTACTGATACTATCTTCCTGTGGGTTCTGGGGGTTTAGTCTGTGCCTGCTTTTGCAGGCCAGCTGGGGTTCTGGGGGTTACATAGTCTGTGCCTGCTAGTGCAGGTCAGCTTTGGACTCTTTCATTGTGGGACCTGGGGGCTTAGTCTGTGCCTGTTAATGCAGGCCAGCTTTGTGGGTTCTGGGGGATTGATTGTCTGTGCTTGCCAGTGCAGGCCAGCTTCTGACTGACATCTATATTATCTTTGTACTAGTCTTTTAGATACCTTATTTTCTCTAGAGATCTCAGTGTCTTTCTGGGGAGGAGCCCCTCCAGGATGCCTGAGGTCTCAGTTCCACTTGGAACATTTGCTCTGTAACTTAGTCCTGTATTTTTCTTGGCTGTGTATTTGGTCAATCCTGCATTTTCTTGGCTGTGTATTTGGTCAATCCTGTATTTTCTGGGCTGTGTATTTGGCTGGTCAATCCTTGTAGTTGCTAGGCTGTGTAACATGAATTGCCCCCATGCTGCTTGATTTTTTGAAGTTGTGTAACCCTAACCCTAACCCTAGCAAAGGACATGCACTGGGCAAAGTAGAAATCCCACCACCCTGGTGACTGAGTTAAAGGGTAAACCTGAGGGTCAGATAAGTGTGAAATCTAAGGGATCCATACCACATGGGGTGGGTGTGAGGTTGTGTGTAAGTAGTAGGCAAATGGGTATGGCATAGGCCAAAGTCTTGGGACCCAAGACCAAGGTAATCAATCCATTGGTCTAAGCTCATGTTCAATCCATTGGGTCTAACCTTTACTATACATCAGTAAATCACTTTGAGCTGTGGAGCTCTCCACAGTGCTCCATAATATGCAGAGTCCCCTAGCTAGGTCCAGGCTGGACAGATGCACCCAACAACACTTTTTGCTATGGCTAGTTGCCTGTTACTATGGAGTGGTCACATTGTCATGGAACTTTGTCCAGTATCTTACTTACTATGGATTGCTATGGAACTTTCATGCTTAGATATCACTGTACAAAACTGGCCAGACTGTATTCTCCTTGGGGTGTTGTCCTCTTTGTGTTGGCTGTGCATACCTACATTGTAGCCTGCATTGCTTGTTGGTAGTACATACATACGTTGGTAACTCATGTGGTAGATACCTCAGTTTGAATATCAACTGTAATACCTCTACTAGGTCTTCTTTATCAGCCTTCTGTCAGGACTTGTACAAGGACACTGCTACATAACATGTCAACTACAGAGCAAGTCCACTTTTGTGTTCAGTATCATTTGATCAACTTCATAACATCTCAGCTGTAATGTCCCACCCTTGGTACTGCATTGGTACTTGTCAGTGAGCATCAGCAGATTCCTGGAGCTTTAGACCCCCTTGGGTGAGAGGATCAGTTCTAACCTGACAAGAGACTTTAAAAGAAAACAAGCAGACAGACAACTAAGTGCAGAATGTTAGATTAGGATCAAACATGAAGAACGGAGACATAGCAAGAGACTGTCAAGACTGGTTGCTCCTAGGGACAAAGGGGGGGGGGGGGGGTTCCACAATGAATGCTGATGTGGTACTGGCTACTGGGGGTCACAACCAAAAGGTGCCTAGTGGTGAAGGGAGACCTGCTGAAAGGCCAAAAAGCAAGTAATGTGGAGGGGGCTTACTCTGTACTTTGCCATGCTATCTTGCAATGCCCTCATACAAGTTTTGACAGAAAGCTGAAGGTACCAACATTGAACCTCTTATTGGTGTGGGTAGGTGCATCTCCCAGTGAGGTCAGCCAACTCCACTTGCAGGAGGTGGGTGCATCCTCCAAACAGGTTGGCTGACCCCACTTCCAGGCAGTGGGTCCACCCTCCAAACAGGTTGGCTGACCCCACTTCCAGGTAGTGGGTCCACCCTCCAATCATGTCAGCTGACCCCACTTCCAGGAGGTGGGTCCATCCTCCAGCCAAGTCAGCCAACCCCACTTTCAGGCACTGGGTGCATCCTCCAAACAGGTTGGCTGAACCCACTTCCAGGCACTGGGTCCACCCTCCAAACAGGTCAGCCAACCCCACTTCCAGGCACTGGGTCCACCCTCCAAACAGGTCAGCCAACCCCACTTCCAGGCACTGGGTCCACCCTCCAAACAGGTTGGCCAACCCCCACTTCCAGGCAGTGGGTGCATCCTCCAAACAGGTCAGCCAACCCCACTTCCAGGCACTGAGTCCACCCTCCAAACAGGTTGGCTGACCCCACTTCCATGGGGTACATCCATCTCCCCATGAGGTTGGCCAATCCCACCTCCACACACCAGCCTACCCACCTTTGGGCACCATCAGCTGATATTGGTTAGTCCCACTTTTAAGACAAAATGTACATGTCAGATGACCCACTTTCAGGCCTACAGGTGACTGAAGGGTCTGCACAGCTGGGATACAGAATATGAAGGATACTAAATTAATTTCTTATTTTCCTTTGGAAGAGTAGTTGAACAATATCTACTACCCTATTACTAGGTAAACATATGCAGAAGTATATTTTTTTCCTGTTCAAAACCAACCTCTTACAGAACCCATACTCCCTGAAAATCCATACCTCCCAGACAGTCCTGACAGCCATGGGTTAAGAGGGAGTCTACTGTACATCATGGACACCTTACTGATACTTTGGATTTCAGTAGACTTGCAGCACTACACAACATACTCATGAAATTATGAACTTAGTATGTGTGATGTGTGGGATTCAGGTCAACCTGCTACTGAATTATGCTGGGGTGAAGATTCCCCAGAGGGTTTTATTAACATAAAAAGACAAAGAGGAACAAAGGGGGGAAAAATCCATCCATCCGTTCCAAAACTCATTTAGCAGTTGCCACCTGCATCCAAGTCATAAGCTCCTGTTAGAACGGCCAATCCGACGATGATGGACAACACACGGCGAACCCACCTAGTGTCCGGCAAAATGAATGTCGCGAGGAACGGTAGGGCTGTGATAACGGACCCATAGAGGTTGCACGGACGGGGGTGGCATTGACACCGTCTGTGACGACAGTGCGCTAATCTGCGATTTCTCCGGAGTCTCCGTAACCTTCGACGTCCGTGATTCAGAAAGGCTGGATGATGGCAGTAGCGCCGTGGTGGTCGTGGGCGAGGGACTGGTGACCTTGGACCGTTGTCCGGTTTTCAAGACACTATACTGAAGTGCTGCTTGTGGTTTCATGCGCCGTTCTGGGTCCCGAACAAGACGCCGTGCCACGAAGCCGACAAAATCATCATCCTGGCATCAAAGAACTCGAGGAAGGTTTTTCGTACCAGGTCCTCTTCTCTGACCCTTGAAGTTGACCACGGATCGTGGTGCTCCACTGTTATCTATACACACACAAAAAGGGTTTGAACTGCGATGACAACGTAGATTCCATTGTTCAAACTTACCGAAAAGGAGCCTCTTCGGTGGGTTGCGGTCAATGACTTCTTGATTTGGAGGACCAAGAACCTCCATCATACAAGACAATTGTTCCTGCTCGTTCTCGCCAGGGAAGATTGGGAATCCCGTGTACAATTCGGCGAGGATGCACCCTGGGTTCCACATGTCGATGGCCACATGGTAGTTGATGCCGAGGATGACCTCCAGTGAAGGGTAGCACTGACTTTGGGTGTGCGTATAAACTAGGCAAAGAAGAGTGAGATAACAGTGAACCTCCTGAATTGATGGAACCCAAGCTCACTCTTCTCGTGCTCGAAGCAAGTACTGCCAAAGTCGATCACCTTGATCGCGCTCTTCGGCGGGTGTTTGAGCAGAACATCCTTTGAGAAGGATGGCCTGAGTTAACAGAGCAATGCACTGATGTCTGGGTACTTTAACTCGGGCTTAAGGCCGCAGCGAACGATTCTATGATTATGATGCCACATCAAGTATGATGACATGGTCATCTGGCTCGTGAAACGCCGTATCAAGGTGGTGGTGAAGCCCGACAAGTCTGTTCGCCTTGATCAACTCGTACAAGTTAATGCTCAGCAGCTCCATTGCGATGCACAAGTGGCTGCAGAAGTAGAAATGCTCTGTCATCTTGACGACGTGGTTTTCTCCTCTTGGTCCTATTCCAAAAAAAAAACCGTCTCGGTGAGGGAAAATGAAAGGGAAGGTAGAAAAACTGCGGTTGAAACACACATACCTATTTGCGTAGATTGTCCAAAATCGTGATTTCGACCAAATCCTGGTGATGGAAGCGTTTCTTATTTCGAATTAGCTTGATCGCGACAGATTCACCAGTTCGGTGATCTCGACAGTTCAACACCTGACCGAAAGATCCATTGCCTAGGGCATCCACGACTTCATATCGATATGCCAGGTGGTCACTGCGCACTACTAGATAGATGTCCGGATCAGCTTGCTTCTTCTGACTTCCAGTACCAATGAAATAAACTAGAGAATGATGGAACATCTCTTCACGTGCGTAGGGACACAGGTGCCGAGCCTGTGGGCTGTGCAGCAGTTCTGCAACAAGTCAAGGTAAGGGGGACGAGAAGCGGGTAAAGACCACACAGTACAACTCACCTTGTGGCGTCATTCCGGGTGTGGGAGAAATCGGGTCTTGGATTTCAATATCTCATCCAACTCTTCGTGCGTTGCTCCATGTGCCATCTTTACCTGCTGACGACTGATGTATTGCTTCATCTCTTCATCACCTAGGAACTCCTCTTCCACCGCCTCAGGAACCGGGGACGGCGTCGATAGTGACTGACGGCTTGACGATGGACTCCGCTGCACGATGCTGATGATGGGAGGAGCAGCCACCCGCTAAAGAAATCTTAGGGCTCAAGAGTTTCAGGCTCTTGGGGGGAGAGTGCTGAGAACCTGGGGGGAAGGTGCGATGATTCGTTGAGCGGAGGCGCTGGCGCGCAGATTGACGCCTGGAGACTGGCTGGCCATCCGCTTCCGCAACTTGTTGCCACTTTGAGCATCTCCGTTTTCCAAGACGCAAATTCGTCCGTCACTGCGTCTGCATGTATCGGTGACGAGTTTGCAGAGGGAGCAGTCATGTTCAGGCTGACGCGTCTGCTAACTAGTGTGTCCCACCCGGAACGCAGTCCTGGTGAACCAGCTGCACATGTACGACCCGAGATACGAGGTATCTTGGCTGGGGGGTTCTTTGGCAATGCCCAAACATATTGAGGAGAGCAGAGGATGGATGATCCTTGGGCTCTTTTGATGCGCTATGACCAGTCGTACCAACTGGAGGCAAGTCGGCAATCGTGGGCACCTGATCGGTGGTTCGCAGCGACTGCTTCTGCATCGAGCTCACGGTTTGGGACATGATACGAGAGGACGGCGGAGTCATCGTGATGGCAGAAGCAGCTGTAGGTACCGAGTTGTTCTCTAGATTGGCGACACGCTGCGCGGTAGTAGCAGGAAGCGCGGACATCTGCTTTGGTGCAAAGCCACAGCCGGAGCCTTCTTCGGGTCCGCGGAAGAGAGCGTCTGCAAAATGATAGTTTGTTACACATGGATATCCGAAGGAGGATCAATCAAGTACGCTGTTACTTGCCTTGTCCTTTTTCCTGCCCATCAGCACCGATATCCTACTCTCGCTCCGATCCTCGAGACCTTGCATCACCCTCGCCTTTTCTCCTTCCCTCGTTTTGTGATTACCACTACTTTCTCTCGTCCCTTTGGCCGTCCCAGTGTCACTCATTTCGCTGTGCAAACTCCTTTTCGAACTTGAACCCTTGAGAAACGAAGGTCACCCTAAACTCAGAACTGATGTCTTCTCCTGAGATGTGCTTGGTGTGGTCGGGGGAGGCCTAGAAAATGATTCTTTGATGGGCGAGCTATTTGCTACTTTGATACGGCTTTATCCGGACAGGACGACTGGAGCCATCGACATCGTTGGTGTTACTGGGACCGCAGCAGCGTTCGACATCGATATTTGCACAATGTGCGGAGATGACCGGCGGAAGAATGGGATGGAGGAGGGTGTGAGGCGTTTCGACTGGTTACGTCTGAACGAAGGGACAGGGCTGGGTGACGCATTCACGTTGGCGTTGAACGCGGTGGTATTGCTGATACTGGAACCAGTTCCTGGACGACTTACAGCCCCCCCCCTATCTTGCGATCGGGTGTCTTTCTAGACTGCAGGGAGGCGAGCCAGGCATTCGAGGGGACCCGACAGAAGAGAGCGACGCGAGAGAGGCGGCAGAGCCGATGGCTTCTGGTCAAATCGGTGACCAAACAGTTTTGTTCGACGCAGAACGGGCAAAGGCTTACCCCTTTCGCAACTGCTGACTGAAACTTTATATGGAGCGCGGGCTCAGCGGGAAGCTCGACGTCTTGCTATTAGGTTATGACGAATCCTTGTCTCCCACTCTCATGGACGCAACCAAGGGCGAACTCGTCAACTGGATATTCAGCACGTTAGAAAACTCCATTTCTTTGAGGGTGTCTAGTGAACGGAAGGTGCAGTCTCAAGTGCAGCAGTGAAACCCATGATTTGTTGATTCGTGTGAATGAACATCATAGGATTTGGATGACGGTGGGTTCTCCAGGGATACTATACGCTCGATACTGCCCTCATCGCCAGCAGCGAGAGGAAATGCAACATCGTGGAAAGACTGAGGTGGGACAGGGCGCACACAGTCCTCCTCCAACGCCTCAGCTCCACTTGCCAGAAAGCCCGTGCGATCCTTCACAGTACCGTCACCACCCGAGTAGACACCCAAGATATCGCTCCCCGCACTGTTCCGTCAACCTTAGCCTACACCAGTGGAGTGTCTACATGAGATAGCAAAGACGGATGTCGCACTTATTGCAGTTGATAACGATGCCGAGTTACGCGAACTCGTGGGGGTGCCTGTATGTCGTAGAGGATGCAGAGCCGCGCTTGGGCATGGAGCTAATACCAGCACTGATAGACTTTTCAGGGGTCCTGTCGGGGCCCAACAACGCTTGATGCGTGTCGCCACTCGTGGCTGCAGGGGTGTGCGCATCGCCAGTGTCGTGTCCAACATCTACTAAGCCAGATCTGCCATGGTCCTTTCTCTATCCTTCCTTTGAGCTTCCTTGCGACTGACTTCCCCACCGCACTCATTAACGCCACTCTTCCAATGGACGCGATCTGCGATGCTTCCAAGCGTACCACGGCGGCTGATGCGGTTGAGACTGCCGATGGTGGGCAGCGTCGTTCATGCTTGACCAACCTTCCTGCGTCCCGTCGTCCGAGGTGCGCGTTCGCGCCTCGCCAAGTGGAGTGAATGCGGTTGAAGGGGATGATGAGGTGGGCGAATCGCTGAGCAGGACGTGCTCGCTCGGGAGGGGGGTACGAGTGGCGAGAGAAGGTGAGGAAGGCTTGACTGCGTCCGACAGGTGTTTTGCGCGAGTGGAAGATTTCTTCTCCGCCGCTCTCTTCTGCAATAGAGTGACGGGTGCAGATGTCCATGATGGTCGTCATCAATATCACCAACGGAAGTAGTTCATAGCACGTCGGTTCGTGGATCAGATCTTGACCCCGTGATTGCGCAGGCGCCTTGATCAGGTCACTGATCGTTAACACACCCCGCGCTAATGCTAGGGTGAGTTAGCAAAGAGACATGTTCCTTGTGGATTTCCCAACTGCACGGCAGAGTATTATGGAAGTATGTTTTTGGAAGCCAGATCCCCGAAGGGGGAGCTGGGAAAGCTCCACTGTGCTGCGGTGTCTGGCGTGGAGGACGGGGCACAGAAACACGAAGCTGCTGAGAAGATCAGTAGTAGGTTTCACCAGGAACACAACTATACCTATCGAGCTGGCTTGGTACCGCAGAGTATGGGATGAACCCGTTGCCGCATCGCTATGAGCAATCGAGAATGGTAGCAAGGAAAAACCGATGGTTGAGTCTTTCCCTCACAGATGCATCACAGGCAGGCGGTCAGACGACGAGAAGAAATGGGGCGGTTCAACAGGAACTTGGTGATCGTAGTTTACATGTGGGTCGGGCTGTACAGTGCAGATAGGCGCGTGGATATTCGACTCCGCAGTCCCTTGCCCTTCGCACTTCACCACCATCGTCCCCTACAGTCGTAGCACACTTACTGCTTAAGATATCCTAAAACCTGTTTTCTTATCATGGCGCCGAACTCTCTTCGTTCCTGGTGGCGTTCGCTGCGGCGTTCTCAACCTCCGAGTGGCAATGCTGGTATATTACTCCCCACTGAAGCCACACATTCAGTTTCCCCGCATGCAGTCGTCCCTACGCCGGCTTCAGACTATCGCTTAGATCCTACAGAGGCTAAAAAGCAGATTGATCGCATCCCTCGTTTTCGCATTCTTGTCATGGGCAGAGCAAATGCGGGTAAAACAACTATTTTACAGCGGGTCTGTAACACTACGGATCAGCCTGAGATCTTCGATGGAAACGGAGTGAAGGTATGTGCGTGCGCTATGGGCTTCATGTTTGTCAACCTGTCATTCTGCCAGGTTAATTCTGGGGTGGTGCAGGGTTCACTATCGGTAAGGCCACTATATGAAATTAAATGGGGCTCACATCAAACTTGTGCAGCGTGGTGTCCATACCATTGAGGATGAGCTGGTGTTTCAAAGTAACCAACAGTTTGTGTTCCATGACTCGTGCGGATTCGAGGCAGGGGAGGAGGCAGAGTTTGATAAGATGAAGAAATTTGTCACAGAACATGCCAAGGCCACCAAACTGGAGCAGAGAATACATGCGATTTGGTAAGGACCTGTCTGAGTCACACCACTGGAAGTCCACTGACATGCTTGTACTTGATTTAGGTATTGCATTCCTTTGAATGAAAGGCATAGGATGGTCACAGCTGCTGAAAAGAAGTTCTTTAATGAGTGTGATTCAGGGCATGGTATGTGATCACAAATATCACATCATATTTGGTGCATGGATTTAGGCTTTGCACAGTTCCTGTGATTGTGCTACTAACAAAGGCAGACACTTTGAGTCTTGATGCATTTCAGGAGCTTAAGAAAAAGGGGTCAACTGTAGATGATGCAAGGAAAAGGGCTCCAGAAGTAGGAAAGGAGGTACAAAAGTGCTGCCTGGACAAGGTCAAAGATTGGCTGGATAAACTGCAGTTTCCACCTCAAAACTACCTGGTGCTTACCAGTAAGTAAGCTATGGATTAATACCCTGCCAGTAGCAAATGTGTCTCTCCAGGTATGCAACAGAAGGGTGCAGATTGTAAAGAGCTGTTGAAATGCACAGCAAGTGCATTGACAGAGGAAGGACTGCAAGGGCTGCTTATATCTTCACAGCAGTCAAACCTGGGACTGTGCATGGAATTTGCCATAATGAAGTGAGTGGCACAAATCAAGATGCACAGGGTACTGACTAGAGAAAGGACATTGAAGAGGATCTTGAACAATGTGGCTCACCAAATTGAATTGGACACCATAGCAAATGCCCTTGCAACATGGTTCCCATTTGTAAGCAACCAGTGCTTTGGGTGAATAAGAGGCTGATTAAGTTATAGAAAGTGTGTGAAATTCTGCAAGTACAAGTATAACTGATGCTGAATGTGATTGTTGCTGTTGTTTTTGGACTGGAATTGATAGTATGTAAGTTGACTGAGGGAAGATGGTATTGGATGCATGATGACCAAGTTCAATCCCACTGTGTTGGACTGGGGTTCATAGAGAGTGAGTGGAGTCATGGCTGATGGTAGTGGATGCATGCTGACATGTTCACTCCAAACTGTTGGACTGGGGTTCAAAGTTAGTGAGTGGAGTCATAGCTGATGGTGGTGGATGCATGCTGACATGTTCACTCCCACCCTGTTGCTCTGGGGTTCATAGAGAGTGAGTGGAGTCATGGCAGATGGTAGTGGATGTATGCTGACATGTTCACTCCAACTCTGTTGCACTGGGGTTCATAGGATGTGAGTGGAGTCATTGGAAATGGAGGTGGAGATGGAGATGCATGCATGCTGACATGTTCACACCACCCTGTTGCACTGGGGTTCATAGGATGTGAGTGGGGTCATTGCAGGTGTTGGTGGATGCATGGTGACATGTTCACTCACACCCTGTTGTCCTGGGGTTCATAGTATGTGAGTGGAGTCATGGCAAATGGTGATGGATGCATGTTGACATGTTTACTCCCACCCTGTTGACTGGGGTTCATAGATAGTGAGTGGAGTCATGGCAGATGGTTGTGGT